TCTCTCTATATATATATATATATATATATATATATATATATATATATATATATATAATACAATTTGTTTATGTAATTTCTATAAGTATTTACAATTTGTTTATGTATAATATATGAATGACATGAATACTTTGGACTACTTAGTCTAGTGGTAAAATTTAGGAGTTTGGAGAGTAGGTTAGTGGTTCAAATCCTAACCACAACATATATATTTAGAGGTCTTTGATTTGGACTCTTTAAATTCTACAATTATTTTTAATTTAATTCTACGATTATTTTTTATTATTTTAATTTTTATAATTTTTTAAATTTGTAAATTACATAATTACAATTGATTAATAATATATTTTTTTTATCAAAATTGTTTTTATTTTTTGCTTTGTATTCTTAAAAAAAATTAAAAATTAAAAAAATTTAAATAACAAAGAAACCGGACCCGACATGCTCTAGCCCGGACTCGGCCTGCTCTATCCCGGACCCGAACCTATCACGGTGCAACCGGGCCCGGGTCTGGGCTCGGGCCCGGATGGACAGACCTACTCCCCAAGTCGAGTGAGAATAAAATAAAAGTAGGAATGTAATGGAATTGACGTTAAAATGGAATGCTCATTTCTATTCTCATGTTTGGATACGATTAGAAAATTAAGTGAGAATATCTTTAAGAAGGGTATTATCCATGGAAGTGGAAGTGGTGGTGGAGGAGATACCATGGAAGAATGAGTTCTGTTATTAAATGGGTAAAGGGGTAAGGTTATTTTGGGTATTTATTCATGTTTGAGACAATGACAGATCCAAAAAAATTCTTAACGCTGAGAAGAAGTTTCTATTTACTAAAAAAGTAAATGTAATATCAACGTTCAATTATGCTACATGCTTGTTTAGTGGTTAAATGATTGGGATGCAAATATTTTCCAAAAAAAAAAAAAAAAAACGGGATCCGCCCTTCTTTTAAGGGATACATTATGAATGTAAAAGTGTATTTGGTATTTTGGGTTTAAAGGTAATTAAAGACAGTTCGTTTGGGTTTATGAACATTGGAAAAAGTACTTGTGCTTAAAAATTAAATAAGATAAATTTTGGATTTAAAGGCAAACAATCCTAAGATGAAACATCCTTTCCATTAATAACAAAACCATCAGACTGCACAAACTTATTAACACTTTGATAATTAACATCTACGTTTTTACTTTGATAAGGAAGACGATGGTGCTTATGAGAGACTGCAGCGAACACTACAAGGGCAGAGACGAATGCAAGGCCAAGACCGAGAGCGTTGACCAGGGTTGACTCCGTTGATCGCCGGTGAACGCCTCTACGTGTCTGAAGAAAAGTCAACTTCTCGAGGAGGCCAGTTTCTGCAGTGATCACGGCAAAGCCCGTACGTGTACAGGCCCACAAAAGCGTGCCACGGGAGCATGGTCGTTCTCGTACGCCTGTTCTCTGGCCGGTGCCATAATCTGAGAAATCCCAGTGTCCACTGAAAATGGGGAAAAAAGAGGGTTATTGTTGCTAATTAGCCAAAGGGTATTATACATTAAATAAATAAATAAAAATCTTGTAGAGAGCCCTCTACACAAAATCATGAAGGAGAAAACCCCATATACCATACTATCAATTTAAAATAAAATATTGTGTCCCTTCCAATACTAAATATTAGTGCAAATAAAATATTGTCACAATTCAATAGTAAATATCAGTGTAAAGTGTATGGAAATTAGCAATCGCTAAAATAGTAAAATGACATTCCCCCATTACTTTGCACTTGTATAGTCATTCTAAAAGTGTTTTTTTAATTGAACTTATGTGTATACATATTGAAGTTTTCAAAATTGGCACTTTAGTGTCCTCATTTATGTGAATGTCAAAATATTCTTTCGAAAACTCCCATGTGACAATTACATGCTGATTTTAGAACGTTTTAGCACTTCATACTTGTTGAACTTACTGTTAAATCTAATCCTAATTGTATTGTAAATGAAAAGTGTAATATAGAATTTAGATGAGTTTAATAGTAAATTCAACAAGCATTACAGTTTAACATGTGAATGTATAGGAAAAAAACAAGTTAATCTAGCAGTTTTAAAAAATCACCCTTAAAAAGAGGCTACAACTCAATTTTAACATAAAAACTTATAGCTATCAGATACTTACCCCAACTCTAATTTTAAACATATCAATCTTTTTTTATTCTACACGACATGGGACTATACTCCCATATTAATAACCTCAATCTTCCCCTTAATTTGCAAGTACAGTTCGATCTTTCAATCTTCTCACTAACTTAGTCTTAACTTTTACCTCTTCACTTGTATGTTAACTAGATCATATCACTCCTGCAAGCATTCTGTGTGTTAACTTGATCTTCACTTGTGGGCTAACTAGATCATATCACTCCTACGATGTTATGACATTAATTAAACTAAGTGTTAATCTTCCTTTCAAAGGCGACACATGCCACATATCGTCAATAATCAATCATGCTAGCTCAACCTAGCCAGGGCTGACTTGGGTCACTTGGCCACTCGACCTTTCCCGAGCCGAGCCGAGTCGAGACCAGCTCTCACTCGACCTCATCAATCGAGTCGACCACCCTCATTCACTCAGTGCTGGGTTGACAACTTTCGAGGCCGACTAAAGAGGCAGTACTTGTCGTCCCACTCGTGGAGCCGATTCGAGAGGATGTTCGTCCTCGAACTCCACACCAACATATGTTCATCATCATCATGCCTAGTGCCCCTAGCCTCCATGACTCACCACCTAGCGTCAGCGCCACGCCCCCTCAATCACCACCATATCAAATCAAGGGTGAGTCATCGCACAGCTAGTCAACACCTGTAAAGCTATTTGCCAATCCAGCTGTCTACCTAGAATCAGACAGTTATGCATTTACTCCTCTTAGTTAAGTATAAATATGAGCTCAACGCCTACTGCAAGGGGAGGGGTCTTCACGCTGCCATCGGGGCCATAGGTATATGCCATTCGAGCCAACTCATTTAATCATATGCTGAGTCACACCCTCACGCAGTGAAAGCGATATAACCCGAGAGAAAACCCTGGTTTTTGTTTTCACAAAAGCTCAAGTCAACCTCTATGTTCCTGTTTCATGAAGGAAACAAGAACAAAAATGAAATATCTCAACAAAGTGAGATATACACTCTTTTCTCTCATCAGTTCTAGGGAAGAATTGTCGAGGGAACCTACAACCAATAGCCAACACCCAGAAAATAGTAAAAACACGAGATTTACGTGGTTCGGCAAACTTGCCTACGTCCACGAGGAAGGGGGAAGGGAGATTCCACTATGAGGAGAACACCGATGACTTGTACAACCCACAAGCTCGTCCCAAAGAAGAACCTTTTATTTTTACCCAAAAGAAATTGACCTCTCTCTTGTAAAATCCCTCCAAGCTCTTTCTTTTTCTCTCCTTAAGATTTCAGATCTAGATCTCTTTTAGCCGCCATCTAAACCCTCTATTTTTTCTCTAAACAGCCGACTAATCCTCTATATATTAAACCCTTGGAGTCATCGGGTATTTATACGCAAAAAGAAAACCCGAAACTTATCTCGCGTGGGCTTGTTCGCTGCTCGCGTGGGCCTTGGGCGTGCGAGACACCAAAAAAAAAGTGTCTCGCTGTACATGTGCCTCAGGTGGGCCCGAAACACACCTCAGCCATTCACAATTCTCCACCTCGTACATCATTTGATAAACCTTAAATTTTGGACAAACACCAGAAGAACACCGCGAACATCACCAGAGAAATCTGAAACACCAAACTAGACCAAACCAGGCCAAACCAGTTGCATCACTTTACCGTGGCTGCCTACGTACCCTCCACCAGGATCAAGTTAACCGTAATTCAGGATTTGTGCTCTATATAGTCTCCACCTTATCCCATCACTACCCCGAAGGGCCATGCCCTCTTGAACAGTTCAACACGGGCTGATATGAAGCAAGTCCAAGCAATGCTTAAACTTGCTACATGTGACCATCTTAGTTAAAATGTCCGCGAGATTCTCATTTGTATGCACCTTTATGAGAAAAATATCACCTTCCTCTATAACTTCCCGCACGAAATGATACCTGACATCGATATGCTTAGTACGAGCATGATGAACTTGATTCTTTGCCAAGTGAATCGTATTCTGACTGTCGCTTCCCAATGTGCCTTTCCCGGATTCTCCACGAATCTACTAACCACACTGACCGCCTGTGAAATATATGGGCGTGTACACACCATGACGTACATCAAACTGCCAACTGCACTAGCATAAGGAACACACTCCATGTGTGCTTTATCTTCCGCTGTAGTGGGAGATTGTTTAGCGGAAGATTATTTACCTGAAAGCCTAAAATATGGAGCCAATGGAGTCACCACCGACTTTGCATTTTGCATCCCGAACCTCGCGATCACCCGCTCTATGTAGCCCTTCTGACTCAAGAACAATCGCGTATTTGCTCGCTCTCTTCTAATCTCCATACCCAGTATTTTCCTAGCAGCGCTCATGTCCTTCATCTCGAACTCTTTACCAAGTTGAGATTTTAGTCTATCTATCTCCACCATGCTCTTCGAAATAATAAGCATGTCATCCATATACAAAAGAAGATAGATATAATCACCTTCACGAAGCTTCCAAATATAAACATAATCGCTTCGAGAAAACCTATGCTTCAGCATGAAGGAGTCAAATCGCTTGTACCACTACCAAGGAGATTGCTTTAGTCTATAGAGTGACTTCCTCAAACGACATACATGATGCTCCTTATCCTCAACATTGTAACCATCAGGTTGATGCATATAGATCTTTTCATCCAAGTCTCCATGCAAGAAGGTCGTCTTTACATCAAGTTGTTCCAGCTTAAGATCACCATGAGCAACAATACTTAATAACACCCGAATAGAAGTGTGTTTCACCACTGGAGAAAATATCTTATTGTAATCCACACCCTCTCTTTGTGCAAACCCTTTAGCCACTAGTCTCACCTTGTACCTTGTACTACCGAGCTCTTAAGGATCTTCCTTTCTCTTATACACTCACTTACAACCAATAGCTTTTCTTCCTACAAGCAATGGGACCACCTCCCATGTTTGGTTTTTTCGAAGAGATTTCATCTCCTCCTCCATCGCACCCAACCAACTCTCAGTATCTCTATCCCGAATAGCTTCCTTGAAAGAGACCAGCTCATCATCCTCCACCGAGAGTGCGCATTCCACTAAATTAACCTGCCCATAATGCTTCAGGGGTTGATCATCCCCCAGCTTCAGTACCTGCTTATGTGCTCGCCTTGGCCTAGTGAAAGCTAAACTATCCTCGGCCTAATGTTGTTGTAGTGCTTGTGTATTCTCCTCCTCCTGCTCAAGCTCATCATCTACCTGATTTCCCACTTGAACATGACTAGAACTTGGTTGGTCTTTAGGTTCTATCTCAATAATCTGAGACTTTGAAGTCCCAACACCATCATCCTTGGGCGCCTTAGCAATCATAGATTTCTCATCAAAGGTATCATCCCTGCTGATCACGAACTTCGAATCTTCTGTACACCAAAGACGTTAATCTTTTACACCCTTTACATATCCCAAGAATATAGTTTTCTTGGCTCTCGCGTCAAGGTTTTCCTCGTTGACGTGATAATAGGCGGTACACCCGAAAATCCGGAGCCTTTCATAATCTGCATGCTCCCCTGACCACACCCTATAGGGTGTATCACCGTCCAATGTAAAATGTGGAGAACAGTTCACAATATAACAAGCTGTAGCCACCGCCTATGCCCACCATTCCTTACCCAATCCAGCATAAGATCGCATACTCATTGCTTTCTCCCGCAATGTTCGGTTCAGCCTCTCCGCGACCCTATTTTGCCGTGGTGTAGATCTGACTGTCCAGTGTGTAGCAATACCCTCTTGATCACAGAATTCCTTAAAAGCACCATCTGTATATTCTGTACTGTTGTCAGATCTTAGTGTCTTCAATTTTTTCCATATCCTGTTTTCAATCATCGCCTTCCACTTCTTAAATGTCTCGAATACCTCATTCTTATGCTTAAGAAAATAAACCAAGCATACCTCGAATGATCATCTATAAACGAGACAAAATACCTAGAACCACCCTTGGAAGTTGTCTGAGCCGGACCCCACACATCTGTGTGCACATAGTCTAATATACCTCTGCTCTTGTGATTGCTTTTCAAGAACTGGACCCTGTGCACCTTCCCGTACACACAATCCTCATAAAAATCCATGCAAGGTTTCTTCAGATTCTTCAACAAACCCTTCTTACCAAGCAGATCCAGACCCTTCTCTGACATGTGCCCAAGTCGTCTATGCCATAACCGTGTGTGCTCATATGGGTCTCCATCATTTTTTTCAGTTCCAATCGTTACATCTCCCGTTATTGTCGTACCTGAGAGTGTATAAATTACCGTGACGAACACCTTTCATCACTACTAGGGAACCCCGAACAACCTTCTTCACTCCGTTCTCTGTAACAATCCTACAACCACCGGAGTCCAATGCACCAACTGAGATAAAATTCTTCCGCAAGTCGCAAATGTGCCTCACATCCGTCAATGTTTGGACCACTTCATCATGCATCTTGATCTTGATATTACCTAGCCTCACCGTTTTACAAGCATGATTGTTCCCCATCAATACAGTTCCACCAACAATGCTTCTGTAGGTAGTAAACCACTTCCTATTTGGGCACATGTGGTGAGAGTAACATGAATCAAGAATCCACTTTCCGGATATATCCTCACCACCCGTGATGATATAGCATTCATTCTCGCTCCCTTCCTCTGAAACATACTTCCTTGCATTCTCTCCTTTCAGTCTTGTTATTGTTCTTCTTCCCACCCACTCTCTTATTTGGACAATCGACCTTGAAATGCCCAATTTTATCGTATTTGAAATACGGTCTTCCCGCAAGAGGTCTTGATTTAGATCTAGACTTTTCTCCCATGTTTTTTCCTCGCTCATTGCTCATTCCTCTAGCAAACAATTTTTGCGCTTATTCTTTGCTACCACCAGTAGTCATGTCACTGGTTACAATCTTCCGAAGACCATCTGCTAGAAGCGTCGTTCTAGTCTCATCCATCGTAAAATTGTCTCCCACAAGCATCAGTGTTTGCACCAGGTTCTCATAACACTTCGGCAGAGATAGAAGTAGTAGAAGCGTCAGATCATCGTCTTCAACTATAACCAGGGCCGGCCCAAGCTTTTTTGAGGCCCTGTGCAAGATGATAAAATGAGGCCCTCTTCTATATAAATGTTGAACTATAAATTTATTGAATTATATTTATTGGTGTTTTGAACTATAAATTTATTGAATTATATTTATTGGTGTGTTTCCTAGTTAATAGGGAATAGTTAATTGGGAATTAATGAGTTCAAATTGAATTTCCTAAACTTTAGGAGACAAATGAGCAACTAATCATAATTGTAGTACTAATTGGTGTATATTTCCGGTAAAATGTAAATCAGATGGGTCATGGGTGTTAGGCAGTTAGGCTTAGGCAATGGACATAAATTATTATTTAATTTAGTGGGCTAGTATTAGATTATTAGGCCCTTTTTTAAACAAACAAAAGACTTATTGGAAAGAATTAAGAAATATACTATGGGCATTTTTAAAAATTTGGGGCCCCCTTTGAAATGGGGCCCTGTGCGGTCGCCCCCCCTACCCCCCCTCTTGGGCCGGGCCTGACTATAACGTCTATGTCCTTTAAGTCTGATCATATCAAACTTGTTGATGTATTCCCGGATTGATGAACCCTCCTCCATCTTGCAAGTATACAATTTGGATTTCAAATAGATTTGGTTCGTTAGACTCTTCATCATGAACGTGCTTTCTAATTTTGACCACACGCCCGCAGCCGTTTTCTCTCCATCTATCAAGAAAGTTACATCCCTTTCAAGACAAATGATAATCGACGCCCGTACTTCCAGATCTAGCTCCTCCCAATCCCCATCAGACATATCCTTATGTTTCTTCTCTTTTCCAGCCAAAGCCTTGTGCAATTTTTACGAAATCAACGAGTTTTTCATCTGCATCCTCCAATAGGAAAAATCATTCTTCCCATTGAACTTTTCGATCTCGTACTTTCTAACTTTAACTGTTTTGCTAGTTGGCAATATCCTCCGATTGTACTAATAAATCCACTTCTCTCAGGAAATTGCTGAGCACCACCTCAAACCAGAAGCTATACCACTCCCAATCTGAATAACATCTCTGATACCAATTGTTGGGCGCAGAGTCACGCCCTCACGCAGCGGAAGCGATATAACCCGAGAGAAAACCATGACTTTTGTTTTCACAAAAGCTCAAACCAACCTCTATGTTCCTGTTTCCCGAAGGAAACAAGAGCATACGTGAAATATCTCAACAAAGTGAGATATACACTCTTTCTCTCATCAGTTCTAGGACTGAATTGTCGAGGGAACCTACAAGAAATAGCCAACACCCAGAAAACAGTAAAAACACGAGATTTATGTAGTTCGACAAACTTGCCTACATCCATGAGAAAGGGGGAGGGGAGATTCCACTATGAGGAGAACGCCGACGACTTGTACAACCACAAGCTCGTCCCAAAGAAGAAGCTTTTATTTTTACCCAAAAGAAATTGAAATCTCTCTTGTAAAATCCCTCCAAACGCTCTCTTTTTCTCTCCTCAAGATTTCAGATCTAGATCTCTTTTAGCCGCCGTCTAAACCCTCTATTTTTTCTCTAAACAGCCGACTAATCCTCTATATATTAAGCCCTTGGAATCGTCGGGTATTTATATGCAAACAGAAAACCCAAAACCTGTCTCGCGTGGGCCTGTTCCCTGCTCGCGTGGGCCTTGGGCGTGCGAGACACCAAAAAAAGTGTCTCGCTGTACATGTGCCTCGGGTGGGCCCGAGACACACCTCAGCCGTTCCCATATGCACTTTCTGAACTTACACAGTACATTGGTTCTCCATTCGAGCTTTATATTGACTTGATCGTCAGAGGAATCACCGGAGAATCCAACTCCGATCCTCTAACGTGTTTGTTTTGCAGTTCTCTTATTTCAGATAGGGATCAACCGTCTTAGGGGATGAGGGAACCTCGTCATTGGTCTGCATCGACCCCGAGACCCGTTGCTAACTCGGAATTATCCGCTAATCTCGCCGTAGAACATCAACAAACGAGCTTTCCGTGAGTTAACTTGGCCTCCACCCGTTGGCTAACTAACTTGATTAATGCGGTAACTAGTGGGCCGGGACAGATTCACAAGCACAAGACACGAAGAACAAAAAGAGGTACGTGTCTGATCCATAGAAATTGTGGCCATCGAACTCAGTGAAACGGACAAAAAGAAGAGAAGGAGAAGAATGAGGATACAGAGTCTATGGACCTGAGAAGCGAAGAGGACGAGGCAGAGCAGGCCCATCCACGAGTGGAGGCTGTAAAAATTCGCCAGTATTCCGATTCTACCCTTAAACTTGACCCAAATTCCGAAAAGACCAAACCCTAGTGCCGCACCCTGGAGACACAGGTGCACCGATTTCCTCGTGCTCCTGGACCACGCCGACAACCACTTGTGCGCCAATATTGCTGCCAGTTTACAATAACCCCCTCCTCAATACAAATATTACTAACACAGAATTGAAGGACACATATTTTGGGTGAGAATCAAAATCTTGAAAGCTAATCAACTAAATTTAAGAACGTCAAAATACAAAATTATAGGACAAACAATTTTTTCAATGCATTTTCATTCATTTACGACAGCAAGGACCTTTATAGGAGTTTGACTCGATTTCTTAGTTAATACTTATATTACTATGCTATATCCAAATTGTTAAATTGCAGTCTCATGTTTAGATATATTTATATATCATACGTTTCTTCTTTAAGCAAATTTAGAAGTATGAGAAAACAATTATATTTAATTAGTATTGTAAACTTTTGTTCCATGGAATATTTATTTCCCTTAGGAGTGTAATGCTAGAATTAAAAAAAATCTATTATGATAAAACTACTAAAACTAAAGACTATTTAATTATATTTTTTTAGAGAGAAATTTCTTTTTTATATTGTCAGTGCACTGTGTATAAACCAAACAATTATCCTCAATACTGAGGATATATACGATCCAATGGGCAGGAGTCAGGACCACGGGGCCAGTTTTAAAACATTTTTTTAGGACCAGTTTGAAAACATTACCTTCGACTGTGAAAAGAATTCAACGAGAATAATAAATCGAGAAAATCGCCAAAAGGCAATCACTAAAAAAATAAAATAAAAAGTAAACAAAGATCAGTGCTACAGAGATGTCGGCAAATAATAAAATATAGAAAAACTTAAAAAACACACATGATAGCATGTATGATCAATTTTTTATGTGAATTTGATCTACTTTTCTTTTTTAAATGTTTAGTTCATTAGATTATTCACAGTGGAGTATTACAGACAACAGCCCATCCAACTAGACGGTCGACCATTATATGCATTTATACAGAAATCTAGGAGTGCGTTTTATTGCATGTGCGTGGCAGCGTGAGCGCAAAAGTTGCAGGTAACTAGTACTAGTAACTTGGAACTCAATTAATTGATAATGTTAGAGCAAGTGCATCAAGCTCTCATTTGGGAGTCTTACTCAGCAAGCTCTCAAGAGCTCTTAAGCATTTTAGAATAAAAAAATTAAAAAATTAAGCTTTGGGAGACACTCCTTTTTTTATGGAGCTCCAACAAGCTCCTAGTTAGGAGCTCCAACAATATCGAAAAAACTCATCTTCTATTTTAATATTTTACCCATTACTTTTAATTATATTTGAACCTCTTGTATTTTATTTCTAACCGTTGGATACGGCCTTCAAGGGAGCGCACACGGTCTTCGAGGCATCCCACGGTCTTCGAGGGAGCGCACACGGTCTTCGAGGTAACACGCGGCTTTCGAGGGAACGCACACGGTCTTCGAGGTAACCTGCGGTCTTCGAGGTTGGGCACGAAGTTCGAGGTATCGTAAACTTTGCCCGTCAACCGACTGATTCCTATAAAATTCGACGGCTTCTCTCCTCAACCCATCATCTCCCAGAATAAAATGTCTAGCTCATCTAGCTCTAGCGATGATGAAATGATGAAGACGTTCTTTCTTATGGGAGTTGTTGTCGTTGAGGAAGAAGAACAAGAGAAATGTTCAACTTCAGTTCAACACAAACGACGTATCGTGCTCCATCGAAACCGACTAGAAGGCCACAATCGGTTGTTCCAAGATTATTTTGCTGACGCACCAACCTATCCTCTTTATTATTTTCGTCAAAGATTCAGAATGACGCGTTCGTTATTCCTTTGAATCCACGACGTAGTCGTCGAACATGACAAATACTTCGTCCAAAAGAGGAATGGTGCTGGACAGTTAGGACTATCTAGTCTTCAAAAGATTACTGCAGCTATGCGGATGCTCGCATATGGAGCATCCGCTGACTCCGTTGACGACTACTTCGGATCGGTAAAAGTACGTCGCTTGAGAGCGTGAAGAGGTTCGTTCGATCGATTATCAACATCTTTGGAGAGGAATACCTTCGTTCACCGACTAATGAAGACGTTGCACGCCTGCTCGAGGAAGGTTCACAACGAGGTTTTCCTGGTATGCTTGGGAGCATCGACTGCATGCACTGGACATGGAAGAACTGTCCAATTGCCTGGCAAGGTATGTATACTGAACATTTTCATGAACCTATAATTATTTTGGAGGCCGTAGCTAGCAAAGATCTTTGGATATGGCATGCCTTCTTTGGACTGCCGGGGTCTCACATTGACATTAATGTTCTACATCGTTCACCGATTTTCGCACAACTTACGGAGGGAAGAACTTCACCGTGCAACTATACTGTCAATAGCCACGAGTATAATATGGGATACTATCTCGCCGACGGGATTTACCCGGAGTGGTCCACATTAGTGAAGACTATTCCAGCACCTCGAGGAAACAAGCATAAGTACTTTGCTCAACAACAAGAAAGCGCAAGAAAAGATGTTGAGCGAGCTTTTGGCGTGTTGCAAGCTCGATTTGCAATTGTTCTTCCATATATGATAATTAGGAAGAACCCTTGGACATCCACCTCTCCAATATCTCTGCCTGACGCATTTCAAAGTATTGTCGTTGAACTGAATTGAGTGTTGAGAGATCCATCTTCATGATATCGTCATCTTGTTTCTTCTGTTTTAGCTCTATTTTTTGATTGGTGGTTTGCTTTATCCACGCGAAAGCCTCTCCTATGATGGACGTAGCGGATTCAGAGTTTTCCACATTTTGTTTCCTCTTGAGCTTTGCTGCTTTCCTCCCTTCAGGCCTTACTAACACATCATCCGAGTCGGTGTTCAACTCGATGGGGGTCGCTGGCATGGAATTGTTGGGTGAGGAATCAGAGTTTATGGTTCTTCTCGGCTGTGATCGAATCTTATTGTAAGTTTTCATTTGTTGGATCCACTTTTGATGATGACGCAACTCAACCCAGCAATGGTCAAACACGAATAGCTTACCATAAAGAGATTGGTATAATTCTTTTACTTCTGCAGTCTACACAAAAGTTAAATTTAGAATAATCTAACATATAAGTTCAATATTTACATAAAAACATATAAGTTAAATATTTACCTGGTCAATAATTCCCGTACCAGATCTTTGTCTTCCTTCAATCTGAGCAACGCACCCGCAGAACTTGTTGACCGACAGTTGAATCGTTGACCAACGGTGCATCATTTGGTTTGGTGTGCGGCTCGTTGGATCGGTGGAGTATTGGATAAAGTAGTCGTTAGCTCTGTGCCAAAACTTGTCTTTGTGTTGCCCCGTACTTTGGATGGCGTCTTGGCTCGTGTTCAGCCAAGCAGACACAAGAAGCTTATCCTCGTGGACAGTCCAATTTTCGGACCTCGTGTAAGCCTTCTTTTTCTTTGTGATCGGTGTTTCTTGGGATGACACTTGTTGTGTTGCTGATTGCGAGAACTTGATGGGGTTACCTTCTTCTACGACTTCTGTATAGAACGGCGGGTATAAGGTCGACCCGTCACCGGTAAGGAGTTGCGAATAATAGTTTTGTGAGGGATCCATGAGATTTGTAATTTGATAGGGATTGCGAATAATAGTTTTGTGAGGGATCCATGAGATTTGTAATTTGATAGGGATATATAGAGTTTTTTTTTTATGAGAGAATTGTGTGGAATGATTTGTGTATTGAAGTGAAACGAATTTATAGATGATTTTTTACAACAGTAAATTTTTCAACAGCATGATTTTTCAACGGCTGTATTTTCACAATGTTAAATTTTCCAACGGCATGATTTTTCAACGGTTGCATTTTCACAACGTTCGATTATCAACTCACAATTTCAACAAAAATTTCACAACTCAAAATTTTCACCTCAAACAACGCACTCCATTAAAAACAAAAAACAAAAACTCCATCTTCTCCCTTCGACAGACCCAACCCCAATTCTTCGACATCATCTCCGCCATCATCCATCATCTCCGCCATCAGTCTCCGATCCTACCCCGAACGCCACCCCTCATCTCCGCGAAGGCCAGCATCTCCGCGAACGCCCTCATCTCCGATTTCTGATTTTGGAGGAGGGTTTTTGTAAATCCTCTCCCAGTTGGGAGCTCCCAAGCGCTCCACAAATTTGTGGAGCGCTTGGGAGCCGCTACGTCAGATCTTGGGAGCGGGCTGGGAGCGGTTCGGAGGCTGCTGGAGGGGGTGAAGCAGGAGACCTTGGCCACGTCGGCGGCTGAGAGCGGGCTTGGGAGCTTGCTGCCCATGCTCTTAGGGGGGCGGCAAAAAGCCTTGAAAATTTCTCTAAGGACCAAAAATATAAGACCAACAATGGAACATGTGAGCTGTCTCCCTTCTATTGCATAATGAGCTGATCATCATTAATGATGATCAGCTCATTATGTAATAAGAGGGGGGACAGCTCACATGTCCTCTATTAGTCTCATATTTTGGATCCCTGTGACAAAGCTCAAAAGTCTTTACTGTTTACTTCCACTCATATTTAATAGAGTAATTATTATGAAATTCCATTCGAAGTGTGACAGTTTCACGGAACTTTCTAACGCTATTTTTTTCATTACAACACCCTCTACCTTAAATAAAAATGTTAAAACTATCAAATTTGCATGTTAGGCCATTACACTGAACTAGAGGTTATTTATGTTGGAGAGCTTATGGTGTCTGATTAGGCTGTGCATGATGTTAGCAAATTCACCCATATTTTGCTGTAACTTATCACATGTTAGGCCGTTACATTGAGCCGAAAACTACATGCTATATAGAAAGATAAATTTGTAATTTTATAGCCTTAGTCTCTTTATGTATGAACGCCCTCTTTTGTAATTATAAGTTAATCAGAAATAAATAAATAAATTCTAATACTGTGGTGGACATGGACAAATTGCCGAACCATTTAAAAAGGGTGTCTTTTATATTTGCTTTTCTCCTTTTTCTACTTTCTCTCTGGTTCGTAGGAGTTTCGATTACTAAGAGCATCTCCAACAGCTTCCCCAAAATTTTTTTCAAAATGGAGAAACAAAAGTCATATTCTCCAAATTATTTTTGCTCCAACTCCAACAGCTTTCCCATTTTGAAAAATCATATTTATTACAATAATAAAGCTCTCCCCAAAAATTTGGAGAATGCTGCAGATTTGGGGAAGACTCACTATTTTTTCTCCTCCTTCCCTATTTTGGGGAATGAGATGGAGAATCTGTTGGACCAAAAAAAAGCTCTCCCTATTTTGGGGAATGAGATGGAGAATCTGTTGGACCAAAAAAAAGCTCTATATTCTCCAAATTTGAGTATTTCAAGAAGATGGGGAAGCAAAAAGCTCTATATTCTCCAAATTTGAGTATTTCAAGAAGATGGGGAAGCTGTTGGAGATGCTCTAACAATTTACTTGGAGGAAAATTACGCCAACATACAAAGGCAAATTAATTTCCGCATTTTACCCAAAAATAATAACTTAGAGCTGGCATCTGCCAAATATAAAAAAGGTTCAGAAGAAAGAAGGTCACCTTCGCCGCTGAGGAGAATGAAGCCAATAACCATCAGAAGCGGATGAAGAGCCTGCACAAAAAAGAAAAAAAAAGAAAAAAAAAAGAAAGAAGGAAAGAAAGAACGAAAGAAAAAAAGAAAAAGAAAAAGGTGGTTTCTAGTAAATGAGAAGACAATTACGAAAATTAAAGGCCAAATGTGCAAATTACCGAATAAAGGTGGCCCATTTGGGAAGTATCCGAGGAATCGCCGGAGTTGGAATGGGGGAGAAAGCTAGCTCTAAACCCAAATGCCCAAATGAGAAGGAGAACGGCGACCAGTAGACCCGAGGCCCTAACCAGAACCATGATCCGACCCATTTTATTCCGGGTTCGGGTCTCTATCTTCACTCACTGAGAAGCTTAGTTTTATAGTTAAAACTTGAAGTGCTTGCTCTATTCTACTAGATCTAGTTCTCAACTCTTTTTATTAGTGGCCTCACTTTGTTACTTCTCTGGACAAACTTTGAAAAGCAATCAATTTCCAAAAATAATTGTAAAAAAAGACCTCTTTAAAACTTATTTGTCAAAAGCAACCCAGTTCTAGCCAACTGGCTGAATCTGAGTTGTTTTTAGCAAAAAAATACCTAACTTCATGGGAATTCAAGTCTAGTGAAGTTTTGTTATGTAAAAAACTTCACGGGACTTGAAGTCCCGTGAAGTTTGGTATTTTTTTTACAAAAAACGACTCAGTGTTAGCTAGTTGGCTGAAAACTGGGTCGTTTTTGATGAATAAGTTTCAAATATGTCGTTTTTTATGAATAAGTTTGGAAATGAGTTGGTTTTCAAAATTTGTCCTTACTTCTCTACTGATAATTTTGTATTTCCAACTTGGCTTATTTGCATATATACCCCTTATATTATGGATATTTATAAAAATATCCTCTAAATCTCAATATTTACAAAAGTGTCTCTCTCATATCATCAATTTTGAAAAGAAAAATTTACGTCAAGACAATTATCATCAACTTTGATAATCTAATTTGTACTCGCAAGGCGAATATTATCAACAAAATAATTAAATTTTTAGCACCACATTGACAATTTGTTAATTTAGAGGTTTTCTTTTACAAAGTTAATGATTTGAGGAGTATTTTTGTAAATACTAAGAGTTAGGAGACATACATACAAATAATCATGTTTTAAAGGGTATATATCCAAATAACCCTTCCAACTTTAGCCTTCGGAATATTAAAGGATTGTGTATGATTCTTTGTTCGATTATTTAAAGTGGATGGTGGAGATGGGAACTGAGGTAAACCATACTAATGGGATTTATTAATAAAGGATTAATTAGATTCCTATATTCTAAGACATGATGTTATTACACTGCTGATCTTAGAGTTTATGAATCTATATGAGTAATTGTGAGACTACTAATGTAGTTACATGGGTGACCTTAAATCTCGGATTAAAAGTACTATCAAGGTCACCCATGTTCTTACAATCAGTAACTTCAAAGTTACCCACATAGATACACAAACTTCAAGGTCATCCATATAATTACATCACATCTCAATGCACCGGATTGTAATTAATCCATTAATAAATGTTTAGTTGGTATACTAATTGGAACCGAGTTGACTAAAGTCAAGCATTATTGTTTAGGTTACTGAAAATCGATGCTAAAGAAGATTAGATTATAATGATAAAAGTGAGAATTTTACTTAAATGTTGATAATTTTATTCCATGCAATAAACATGTATAGTCAATACAATTAAGCATGTGTGATGTAATCAAAGTCATATGTGTTCTAATCAAGGATTAACACATATGCTATAATCAAGGATCATGCAAGTCAAATATGCTTGATTGTCAACTTATGTGCTATAGTCATGTCAAAATATGATGTAGAACACACTGCGGACATATTTATAGAGAAATTGGACCGTTAGAAGCCTAAACATGGACCCGGTAGAGGAAAATGACTTGCATAGAAGAACAGTTCATATCTCTCAAACTTTACATCAGAATTGGATGAATTATATATAAAAATCGCGTATTTTTTTAGTATGGAGTCAACCAGACCTACGATTGTTTTGTTTGCCACTATTTCTTTTGTGAGATTCCCTTCGGATTGAAGGATATCGGAATTTTTATCATTTTTTACTATTTTAGGTAATATTTTAGGAGGATGTTTTGATTAGAAATAAATTCTTTTTTATTCCAAATTTGACCAATTTGTTTCCTCAATTATAGAAAGTCTTTTAGAGAGAGTTCTGTTGTTTTCATTTTTGACGAAGTTCGGGACCTAGTAGGAGCCTTGTTTGTTTTCTATTTAAGCAGAGGATTGTAAGCCCTAGAGGCATGACTTTTCATCAATAAAATTTCTTCTTTATTGTATTCTATTCGTCGATTTGAAGTTCTTCATAGATTCAAAGATCGTTCTTCGTGTATTCAAAGAATAACCCTTGATGGATTCCGAGGTTTATTACTTTTGCACTACGTTAATTTGTATCAGAGCCATGTTTCTCTCATCCGATGGTAGGCGACGAAGCCCTTATTTCCCGAGATGAGTTTGATGAGTTGAAGATAGACGTTAATTAGATTAATACGACCATAGATTGACTTGCAATGGCAATGGAGCATTTGAACATGGTAGGAGTTAAAAATCACATTGATGGTCCCCAGTGACATGATCTGACTCCACAAGATGAATTTTGCAGTGACAAGGATGACTACGAAGCCCCATGTCATAGTTATAATAGCAGAGACTACCGACTATAGGATAATTATGATGTTGGGGCGTTTGATATGTAGATGGATCTACCATCTTTTGATGGGCAACTCCATAGCGAAGAATTACTCGATTGGATTGTAGAGATGGAGATGTTTTTCAAGTATATGGAGATCCTAAATGAATGAAAGGTTAAGTTGGTGGCCTGCTAGCTTAAAGGTGAAGCATATGCTTAGTGGGAATCAATGTGCACGAATCGATCTCGTCAATGGAAGCAAAAGTCGATAAGTGGGAGAAGATAAAGAAGTTACTAAAAGCATGTTTCCTGCCTAGTGACTACAAACAAGTCTTGTTTGGATAATACTAGAATTACAAACAAGATGGAAGAATAGTTAATGAATATACGTAGGAGTTTTATTTGTTATCATCCCACAACAATTTGAACGAGAAAAATGCCGAATGGATTTCTCGTTATATCAGGGAGTTAAGGATGGCGATTTAGAACCATGTATCTTCGCAATAGATATATACTTTGGCAGATACAATTAGCCTATCTAAAAAGATGGAGCGACAACTTTGCATGGAACAATCAAGGATCATGGGCAGCTCCAGAGGGTTCGCGCACGAATTATAACTGTGGTAGGAACAAAATAGTCCTAATTTGCCTCTGATCAAGATTCTACAGCTGAGAAGGGTACAGGACCAACAACAATACAGCAAAAAAGGCTACACCAGCAAACCCATATGCCAAACTAGATCCAATAGAGTGCTACATATATAGTCAACCTGGTCATTGATCCAATCAGTGCCCTAAAAGAAATATTGTGGATGTGGTTGACCATTCTGAGGAGGATGCAAACTAAGATAACACTTAAGACTATAGTGATGATGAGGTTGAGTATCCTGATGATGGGGATCAACTTTTGCATACGGTGTGATGATTGTTACTGGCTCCAAATCTGTTACACTATCAAATGAGCCTGAAGGAAGGGGAGATCTTGTAGAAACAAGTGGACGAACTCATCCAGAAAGGCCTTATATGAGCTAGCATGAATTCATGTACTACGCTGACATTACTTGTCCTAAAAAAGAATGGAGAGTGGACTATGTGTGTGGATAGTTGGGCTATCAATAAGATTGCCATGAAATATCGGTTTCTTATCCCTTTCCTAGAAGACATGCTGGATATATTTGTAGGTGTCTAAAAATGCCTATAGGTTCTCGTACGCAGCTTGAGACAAAGAGAAGACAATGAATATCATAATTCGAGTCAAACGGGATTATTCAAAGCCGTAAAGAAGCAAACGAGCGCACAAAGCAAGTCAGCGAAGCGTACAAATCAACTAAATGGCAAAATACACAAAACGGCGAAAAAGATCTCTAAAAAAGACTCGGAACCCGCGTGGCGCGCAGGTCACCCAAAGGTGACCCGCGTACGCGCGGGTCATGCGCGGGTCACTAATTGGTGACCCGCGCCCGCGCGGGTCACCAGGGTCTGCGGCGCACGCCGACTTCCCAAAACACGTATTTGGGTGGTTTCTTTGGGATTTGTTCATTCCAGAGCTTCCCAACTGATTGGATATCATCCACAAACATGATTAGGTCGTTGTAAACTGAAGATATGGCCAAATCCTTTGTTCTTAACACTAGGGGAAAATCCAGCATCGCTGACGGCAACTTCGCTGACGGGAGATTCCCGTCAGCGATGTTTATATCGCTGACGGGTATTCCCATCAGCGAAGTTGCCGTCACAGATAACTTTCGCCCGTCGGCGATGTTATTATTGCTGACGGGAGAGAAACATCGCTGACGGGTATCCCGTCAGCGATGTTTGAGTTATATTTCACGCGATCGATCAAGCCCGCTTTCGTTCCCAAATTACAAAACCCTAAATTCTGTAAGCGCCGCCGCCGTCGACGACCTTCTGGCAGCTCCGACTCGCCGCCCTCGACTCCCACTTCACACGCCGACGCCGTCGCCATTACCCTCGCGGCTGCCCTAGATCGCGAACTCCGATCACATGCGTACCTCTCTCGCTCCTCCTCTCTGACTTCACCGCCCGTGCGCCGACTCCCCGGAACCCGAACCCCGTCAGCTCTCGCCGGAGCTCGCCGCGGCACCGCCCCCGCTGAACTCGCAGAGGTATTAATGTCTCAAAATTTTGGGTATTGTTGTAATTTTTTGTAAATTTTTTGTAATTTTAGGTATTGTTGTAAATTTTTAGGTATTTTTGTTGTAATTTTTTGTAAATTTTTAGGTATTTTAGGTATTGTTGTAAATTTTTAGGGATTTTTGTAAATTTCTTTGATGTAATTTTAGGTATTGTTGTAAATTATTAAATTAGCCAATAATAATGATACAATAATCCTCTCGCTGTTTAGTTAAGCATATATATACACAATAAACAATTTTTATAACTCACCTTAGAACATGGATTTTGCGAATATGGGTTCCCAATTTAATAAAAAATTCGGTTTCGCATACATCTATGTATACACTTGTGTTATTATGTAAGCATTTATCTTCCACTACGTATTAAAAAAAGGGAAAAAAAGAGCCACCACTAGCTATGTGAAATATAAGGGAGAACCATTAATATTTATGTGGGTGTACATGTCAAGTTTATTTTTAGATATTAACCTTGTAAATGCTTATATTTCTCCCTCAACTTGTGATTGTTACATTTGATTATGAGTTCTACAACTAAAGGAGGCTTTTCCAATAACACTTAAACTTAAGGAGGT